CATGATCAGTGTCTTGTTAGAAGCTAGGTGGCCGGCAAAGGGCACCTATTGCATGTTGAATCCCGCTCCGCAGTTTTCGCGGTGGCTGGGCACAGTGCCAGGGTGGGGACGAGGGCCGCCATGTCCCCGGGTTCGGGCTGCGCCTCCGTCATTCGGGTCCAGTCCCTCCTCCAAGTGCACTGCACGACAGGCGGGCACCCTGGTCGGTGACCCACTTTCCTTCGGGGGGTTTTGACTTGCGACAAGACAAGATTCAGACGAAGACGCCGCCGCTCTCAAACCACAACCGACGTCTTGCACAACCTTGACCATCGCCAACCTCCCTCTTACTTTTCCATTCGACAAGCCGAGCTGATAGCTGTTTTCCAGCGTCTTACCCACCCTTCAGCATATCGGCTACTGTTGTGTTTCTGACTTGACCTGTTCCATCCGACTTCCAACAGTCTGTACTGTCGTCGACAAGCACTTCGGTTTTGCTCTATCACGAGGCTGTCGCACATTGCCCTACTTCCAACCCTACCCTACCCTACCCAGGGCTACGTACCTGCCGACTGTCATCCCAACTTCGAAACCTGCCTAGCAGAAGCCTAGGCACCGAGTCTCAAGATTTGAGCTTATTTCGACGACCGTTGTTCCATCGAGGAACCAACCAACCCCCTCTCAGCGCCACACCGCGGTGTCGCCAGCTGAAACAAACAACCCGCCAAACTTGACAACCAGGACATATCAACACGCCCCGACTCGTCATCACAGATTGGCAACAATGGGCTGGCAAGCTTGGGAGCTCGACCCGGAGAAGATCCCTCTCTTTAAATTGATCTTCCACGTTGCCCAGATCGTTCTGGCATTCGTAGTATGGTGTTTGGAGATTGCCGTTTTCAAAGCTGATGATGTGCCCATCAACGGCCAAAATGGCTGGACCTTCGCAGTGGTACGTCCCACTTATGTCTTTCCTATAAAGGAGAACCATAGACTGACGATGCCGAACTACAGTTCTTCATTTCGATACCGGCCTGGATCTACCTAGGCATGGCCCCGCGATTTCCTCGGACACGCAAGCTTGCGCAGCCGCATGCCATGGTCGCCGTTGACGCTGCGTTCGCCATCATCTGGCTTTCTGCCTTTTCCACCCAGGCTGCATTCAACACTGCTGGATCTTGCATGTCTGTATGCGGCATTAGCAAGGCCATCGTCGGTCTCGGCTTCTTTGTTTTGTATGTCCCACCAGCGCAAAGAATCCCCTCCCCCTCGAGCCCCTCACTAACAACAAGTCTTTCTGATATTCAGCCTCTTCTTCTGTGTCACCACGTTCCTGAGCATCTACACCCTCATGTACTACAAGTGGAACAACCGCCTCCCCGGTTATGAAAACCTGCACGCCCGCACCCAGAACATCGACCCCGACAAGGCTGCCTTTTCGCTCGCCCCGCACGACGAAGAAGCCTACGCGCCCGTCAACATGAACGACCGGGACGACGAGCACAGCCAGATTGGCGGCGGCATTGGCGGCCACTCCGACTACGACGACACCAACACGCACCTCGGCGGCCAGGTTGGCGGCGGCGGACGCTCCGACTACTCAGACCCCTACGGCGCCCCGACGGCTAGCAGCCTCTCGGTCGACCCGTACCGCGGCCACACGCCCCTGAGCAACATGACCCCCGACCCGTACCGCGGCCATACCCCTCTGAGCATGAATACGGCCCGCACGCCCGACCCATACCGCGGCGCCACACCCTTGACCGATTTATCTGCTGATCCATACAACCGCGGCGTGACCCCGAGCTACCTGGGAAGCCAAACCAGTCGGTACGGCGCTAGCTCGGTGGCGCCGTCCGAGAACCCGTTCAGACAGGATAACCCGTTTGACAACGATAACGATTATCAATCCTCCGTCGGCGGCGGCAGCAGGTACGCGCCGCCTAGTGTGCATGATGGGGACTACGAGGATGAGCCATCGGCAAGGTTTCCCACTGCGCCCTACGGCCGAGTAGGAATCGAACGGGGGAATGTGTAAGAAGGGGATAAGAAAAAAAAAGAAGGGTCGAGAATTGAAGTCAAGGAATATGGATGAGCTGGACTGATCGACTTTGGATCTGGAAGCGGATGAAATACCGGGTAGCTATACGCTGCAGCATGCTTAGGTCATGTATAAAGTGTCTTGGCTACCTGCTTTCTTTTTTTGTTATGGGGGCTGGCTGGCACTAGACGAAACATTTTGGGCTTTTTCTTGTGTATGTATGTGTGTAGGCTTTGCTTTATGGGGTGTCGTTGGCGAGGCGTCACAGGTCCTTGTTGGTTTATCATGCATAGAAAAGAGAGAGATACCTTTGTGTATCAACAATGAATCGCAAAGCTCTCATATCGGCTTCGTGGAATGCTTTGTATCTGTGTCATTCTTTAAAACCCTCTCATATTTGTGGATATCTACGTAGAACATGACTCTAGGTGGCATACGATATATGACACGATATATGTGGATGGCTCAATGGCCCTAATTCTTTTCATGTACTTTGAGAAACGCCTAAAACGCCCGTGGCCTTAATGAATAGTATGTATGCTGCACAAGAAATCCTGGTTCCCGTCCCATCATCCGTTTTTCTTTTGCTCATTACCGTTGAGCAAGGGAGCGCGAGCCGAAGTAGCTCCGTCACCTGTTTCTTTGCCAGTTCCCCATTCCACGAGAGGGTCGCCCCCTGAAGCGAAGTATGACGAGGCGACAGCGGGGAGTCCAACTGGCATTACACCAGTCTGAGAGAGAGGGAGAAAGAGAGAAAGACAAGATCCGTTCCTCTCTTCTTTCGAGACCTATCGAGCAGAGCCATCTCGGCTGAAGGATCAGCCGTGTTGGGTCGCTCTTTCTCCCTCCCGCCGACTCTCGTAGCCCAGCTTACAGGACGAGACTGGACATGGGTCCGGACATCTGTCGCCAGGCTCCCTCATCTCTACCCTTATCTTGAAACCACAAACCGAGCTCACCGGTGATCCCAAGAACATCCCCTTTCAAAGAGCAGTCACATTTCAGTGATGACGAAGTTCACATCACACTCGCGCATGCAATTTGTCCCCTTGTTCCCTTCCCTCGTTCCTTCGTCCGTTTCTTTACTGCAACAAGCCAGCCTTCTTCAACCGCTTGGTAATGTCGCCCTTGGTCTGCTGCATCGGGTTTAACTTGATGTCGCGTACCATGGCAGCTACATCGTCGCCGTGCTTAGCCACTAGCCGCTGCAGCCATTCTAGCTCGCGCTCGCTCTGGTAGCGCACCGTCTTCTCCGCAGGGCGCGATGCCTCCTCCTCGAGCATCCGGACCACCTCGGGCCGACTGCTCTGGGCAATCATCTCTTGGCGGTCGTCGCTGATGCCGTGCCATTCAATATCGTGGGTTGGGTTCTTGGGCTTGGGTTCCTCGGATTCGGAGTCGGACTCGATCTCGTTGAGCGGGTCGTTGAGCGGGTTGTTCGAGCGCAGGACCTTGACGATCTTGCCCGAGGCGTCACGCTCGACCTTGACCTCGCGGACCTCGAGCAGGCCGCGATCGGCCGACTTGACGGCCAAAGGATCATCCTTGGTGATGCCGGCGTAGTTGGCGGCGGCGGACTTCTTGGCCATGCCGCCGGCGGCGGTGCCGAGCTTGGCGACGAGACCGAAGCGGGAGTAGTTTTGTGAGAGGGTCTCCTTCTTGTTCCTGTAGTATGTCAATTTCTTCATGTCAGTACTGAATCTCCTCAAATATCTGGCGAGAAAAAGAAGAGAAAGGTACTACTAACCAGGCCTTGGCAACGATACCGCTGCCCTGGGGGTTCAAGTGCTTCTTCTTGATGGTATGCGTCTGGACCTTGGCGCGAGACGAGCGCTTCTTGCGCTTCTGAAGTTCTCTGCCCATTGTTGCTGTGGTTTTCGGGGGATAGGTACTATGTGGTGTTGCTGAAAGGACAGGAGTTCGACTGCCAAAAGATGCTGGGAAGAAGAAGGCGAAATGGGAGTAAACCAGCAAAGAACGATGACGGCGACAACGACAACGAAGGCGGAAGTTGACCAAAATTTCGGGGGAAACCACCCCAGAGAACTCGATTGAACTGGAACTGCAATGGCTCCTGTCCGATAAGAGAATTATAGTGGGGCTGTTATCCCTTATCGAACTTCCAGGTTGTTCGTTAGTACTTGGGTACGTTCCCTCAGTCCAGTCGCCAGCTGGCAAGAGGGCCGTAATAAAGATACAGTCCCCAAATGTGTACCTAGTGTAAGTGGTGTATCGTATGTAAGCACGTACATAAATACCGCTTCCTCAGGTTCCGTCTCTCATCATCTTGTATCTTGCTTGCCTTTATCGCCGTCACCAGTTCGTTCATCAACAATTCTTCTCCCAAGAGTGATGATGGCAACTTAGCTAACGAACATTCCCTCGGAATTGGACCCTAACTTTCACAGCCATCACAGCCGCGGCTTCCTGTTCTGCTCGCAACTGGTGAGGCGCCAGCGGCCGCGCCAGTCACCACCTCACCATTGCCACCATGATCATTACCCATTGGAGATATGAAAAAACTTATACCTAATCATTGCTGAATAACTACAGTACATACGCACTTTGCAAGTTTTCCGGTAGGGCAACTTAATTCCCGTCCCATCCCATTCCCAAAACACCCTCCATGGCCTCCGCCACTATCCATTCGACGCAGGCACGCGGGTCATACCTGAAATTTCATTTCCTTTTGATTCAAATCCAACCTGCCTTCAAATGACAGCCTTGTACTTCCGAAGACATTCGGTAGTATGCGACCTAACTGTTGACATGTTCATTTCAAGTGCTTCGGTCATCACCCTGCTACATGCCGGCCAATGCCCATCAGAGCCCGGAGGAACACTGCGCAAAATGGGAAGCCGTTCGACATTAGGTGTACTGTAGTGGCCAGCCAATTGTCTTTCATGGTTTTCTAGGCGTTTGCTTATACCTAAACAGCGACCGAAGTCTTGCTTTTTCTTCCCCAACTCCTCTCTCTCCCTTTAAACGCCCAGCCCATAGTTCGCAGCAGAACTCAGCATCTTACCCCCCTCCTTCTTCAACCCCATCCAACCTCAATACAACATGGATAAATTCAAAACTTAATGAGGAGGAACACTTGCTTGAAATAGTCACCTTCCTGTTAAGTCTAGGTGCAGACTTAGCCATGAGGTTTTGTCGAAATGAGGGGGGAGTTGGATACATGTCGAGCGGGATGTGGGAGTGGTAGCGGCGAGGAGGTATACTTCTCAGTACATATGTACTACTTGGACACACGAGTTAATGATGTTCTAGAATATTTACTGGCAACGAGTTGACAAGGGAACCTTTTTGATTAACATCACCCCCTGCTTCAAGATGCTTGAGATAAACCGTGAGCTGTAGGCAAGATGCTTTCTGGACTTAACTCAATCACTCTGTCTGTCATTGCCAGTCAATCACATAATTTACGATGGATCTCCGTCGACAATCACTTGAGAAGGATGGGAGGGGCAATTCGGCTTTAGACGGAACGGATGCGCAAAGGTATTCGCCCGTCTTAAACGCTCATATCGACCTCTTTTCCCCTCCTCAAGAATGTCTTGAGCCTCCAACAGAACATGGAACTATTACTTCTTCGGATGTTGGTTTCCATGTAGTTTCTACAGTGTAGTATTTTCTTCTTTGCCCCTCTCCTTAGTCTTCCGGGGATTTCACGACCTACTGCATCTGATGCCGTGAAGGGTCTAGGCTAGGCGCTACCCCGGATTTTGGAGATGTACGTACGTAATAAGGTGAGGACTACTGAATCAATCCGGGATTTCCACTCGAGGGCTTAGAGTTGGGTTACTGTATTCACACAGTCAGACCAAGGAACATGTCTCGTTTTGACCTATGCCATGCCATACATATGGGTCGAGAATGAGAGTGGCTGCGCAGTCGTCTGTAGCCCGAGAGAAGTCATACCAGACTCTACTGCTAGTGTGTTAGGGAGTGTACGATCTTTCTCCTCTGGGCTTTGACTGTCAGTTGATCGTCGAAAATGGGCATCTATGGTAGACCTTCGAAGTTCAAACCAACATCACCTCCAGCCGAACATCGGCTTTTTGACAACTTCTTCCATAAACTCATTTTTAATTGATGTGCCCCTTTGACCAATTTCTCTTGGATTTGTCGATGCAGTCAGTACTGGACAGCCAATCTGTAACTGACTGACTGCCTTTGCACTACCCTCACCACCATAGTATCATTCGTCCACCCACCACCACCTTGCATATTCGCCTTTCACACGCACAGTTTCTCAGCCCACGGTTTCTAGAACCACGATCGTCTCCTTCCCACGGCACCTCATCCATCCACTTTGTTGTGTTGTCAGCATCAAGTCCATACTAGTTCCCTATAAGTCATGAGTACCGGCGGCAGCAACAGGACTGGAGTCTAGCAATTACAACATACCAAGCACCTACCCCCCCCCAAAAGCACGAGACCCCCCAAGAAAAGCACTTTAAAGGCAGGTAGTATTCAGATATGAGATTGGTACATTGGGCATCTACCTACATACGTTGGTACGTGCCTCTGCCGTGTTTTGTGCAATAGGCCCAGTTAGGTAGCTATCTGTGTAGCTACAGTACCATCTTGCGCTCTCTCGGTAACTACTCTTGATTACCATTCATGCGCGGTGCCCCAAAGCCAAGCAAGGAGCCAAGAGGTACCGACAATGATACCACCGCCGTGGTAACCTTGGCAATGTATGTAGCTTCTACCTTCCAATGTATGTCGGTACCTAGGTATGTATGGGGGAAACCCCAATATGACGGATAGGAACGGTGAAATAGATGGAAAGGAACTGAACCGAGAGAAGACGCGGTTTTCCGAACCGACATGCCACCACCATAGATAGATACCTCAGTCCGGATTGATGTGCAGCAGTATGTCTGTTCATTTCTCTCGACGGGCAAGACTAGATTAGATGCCTAGGTACCTAACTAGCTTCGATTCTCTTCCTATTCGAAGCTGAACAAAACCACAGAGCAAAAGAGCGGGCCCTTTCCGCCCTTTCCCGTATGCTTCCCAACCCGTCATCCTATCCATCCCCGGTCATATATGCATATAGTAGTAGTACATGTAAAGGAAGGCTAATTTTTGTGTGTGCCTAAGCGCCGTGACCAGACCCAAAGCCAAACATGTGATCCGAAAACAGAGAGATCCCGCTCCCAAAAGATGGACAAAACACCAGTAAGTACCTAGTAATAGCAGCAGTAACCAAAGCAACCAACCAACCCCCTGTCACCTGTTTGAATATCAGAACATGATCCATTCCACATCCACGCCAGGTCCCCCGATGCACCTCGACCAGTTGAATGGTCCGCTGCGCATCATGCCCCTCATTTTGGCACCGGGACCATCTTCCTTTACATCCTCTGCCCACAGGCGTTCTAAAACGTCCAAGGCAGCCATGTTGTTCATGTAGCCGCTGCGAGCCATAATATCGCGGCATTTGGACCGGACAATGTTCTGCTGTAACACGTTGACGCACTCGCTTCCAGCCACAAACAAAGGCCACAGCAGGAACTTCTCCGCACTGCTGCCTGCTTCCAGGCTGGTGGCGTAGTAGACAACCTGACTGACCAGATCCCGGAAGTGACTATGAGAGCTGGGGAGGTTGGGACTGGCCAGGCGTTCCGTGTATAGAAGCGCCGCATACCGGAATGCCTCGCTCAACGATCCCAGATCGCGCACTTGTGAACCTGTAGGCGGCGGCGACAACGTTGGCGCCAATGAGGCCACAACCCTCGACGCGTCAAACTCCCAGCTCTGCAGGGCAGTGCGCGCGTCCTTCCACTCGCGCCAGAATGTGCTGCCGTGATCGTCGTATCCCATGGATGTGTGACCTATACCCGTTATTTCGTCGTCCTCCATGGTCGAGCCGAGTCCGCTGCCCTCGAACCTCATCGGCTGGAAGCTTCCGAACAAGTGATGGTGCTCAGACGGGGATGACTTGAAGCCGCCACCACCAAGAGGCGAAGGGGTGCCACATAGGCTGCTGGCGCGTGCACGCTGGGCGTTGGCCAGAAGGTTTTGTACTGGTCGATGCTGAGAAAGCAAGTTCAAACGACCTAGCTTGACAATCGTCTTGAAGAGCTCACGATCACAGCCCACGAGATTTTCCGTACCAGGTGGAAGAAGTTGCGAGTCAGGAAGAAGGCCATAGAAGGATGTGTTGAGCTGGGCTTCCCGATCGTTGACGCTCGCAGTGATAGCATCAAAGTATGTGAATAGCGCCTCCATCCATGCCGAGTCTCTTGATGCAGGATAGGAAGACATTCGACGTAACCCTAGTATCTTCTTAACTCCTGCGAACTGGGTTTGAAACTTGGCGACGCCGGACTCAGCCATCCGGTAGTGGCAAAGTATGAGGATGGTGGCCAGGACTGAATCATGAGTCGACTTCTCCGGGTCGTTAAGCTGCTCATTCAGCAGATGAACAGCTAGGTTCCTGTGCTGATACTCCTCAGAGAGGGACTGGTCCTCTGGCTGTGTATCCGAGTAACCGTCGAATGGGCTTGCATCCAATCGCTTTTCTCCAACGTCGCGCATGTGCTGTCCAAGACTGAGCCGTCGCTTAATCCTGAGGTTGCATGCGGCGAGTGCACAGATGGCATGCTGCAAGCTCCTGCTAGTGGTACCGAGCTGCAAGATGTGTTCTCTGAACGGGTTGCTGGGGTTGTCGATAAAGACCATGCGGGGACAAATGGTCTTCTCGTAATAGTCCATGAAGAAAGGCATCTTATGGATGAGATCAGGGCTTACTCGCAGGATCGGGGAAGGCGATTGCGAAGGAAACGAAGTCGGCCACGGTAGCTGAATATGCTCCTGGACACTTTGCGAAAGTGATTCGTCGTCTGCATTGGATGGTGCCCAGAACGGGCCGTGAGGTTGGACGCTGGTACTAAACGTCTCCAAGTCGGATGGCGTTCTCGGCACTTGAAGGGCGCTGTCGTTAGTATGGGTAACCTGACCGCCGAAAGTAAAGTGGCTCACCGAAGACATCACATTCTTGCACCATCTTGCGACTCAGCTGGGCTTCTAAGCTGTCCACAGGGGATACACGCAAAGGGAGACTAGCAGTAGGCTCTGAGGGCGAGTAACCGAGGCTGGGACACGAGGTCGGAGGCCTGTGAGGCTCGATCATCATAGCGGATGGATGAGTATGCTGGACAGGTGGGCCATGGCCGGGATAGCTATCGTAGACAACAGTCGGGCTCTGAAGGGGACTGTGGATGTAAGAAACATCGTCTCTCGGGAACGAGTGAGCGATGGGAGACATGTAGTCAGTTTCGCTTATAGAGTCCATGTGGGATGCCATGGAAAGCGACATGCTCCTTCCCGGATATCCAGGGCCGTCGTGAGGAGACATGGGTGAAGTAAACGGGATGTGAGTCCAGCCGGGTGGTGGAGCTTCCGTCACGGGGGACATGTGAGACATATCGAAGTGATGAAAAGGCGGACCAGACAGTGGTGAGTGAAGAGGTGAGTGAAGATCCACAGACGACGGCTGCTCTGTCTCCTCACGTTTAACACGATCCTCTGTCTCCGAGTACTGGCTGACGGATGCGATCGAGCTAGTGCGTTGCCTCGTTGTTGGCGACTTCAATGCCGTCACTCCTTTTCCGGGGTTCACGGGTGGTGACTTGGCGATGGGTAGCGACAGGCCTCGAAGCTTGCCTCGACTGGCAACACCGACACCCCAAGTCAACTGGGTCTTGTATCCCGAGCACTCATTTCCAATTTCGAGACATTGCGAACAATACGGCCTCCTCCGGTCGCACTTAACATTCCTCTTGGCGCAGGTAAAGCAGTCGTCGGCAGCTCCGCCAGCGGGCGCCCTTCTCCTACGCTTCCTCGCAGAGGCAGCATCTTTGGCAGTCGCAGCAGGTGGGGCGTTGATGGGGGCAGTCATGGTGGTGACAACTGCGGGACGTGATGGTTAAGTATGCTGCAGGTATCGAGTCCCAGAGATATCATAAGGAGAAGCTGTCCAAACAGTCGGCAGGTAAGTTTGGCCAAGACACCGGTCCGGACTGTCGAGGACGGAAGTTGAGTGGTATGGATAAATGGGCGTTTAGTGTGGATAGACTTGGCCCATAGCAGGGAGGCGAATAGACCTGGGAAGTGGGAAAGAATAAAAAGGCAGAAGGAAGGGGTGGCATCTAGCGATGCGATCTCTGGTCGATGGCCAGTCTTTAACTGAAAACCCCAGCGACAGCTACAAAGAGTGAGTGAGAGAGTCCATCCAACGAGGCCGCGGGAGACAT